AAATAATTTGATGCAAGGAAATTGCTCTTCCTTGCATCAAATTGCAAGGAAGACGCATACAACATTGTGGAGTTATATTTACAAAAATGTCAGGGGGAAAAAAAAAAGGAAGAATTGTCACATAATTATAACTAACAAACAGTTTTCTCTCTCGCAAGTGTATATTTTTTAACCTGGCTGGCTATTGTGTTCCTCACAAGGTCAAAGAATCTTATTCCTGACCTTGATTTCATCATCCTGCTCTCGTGTTTCACAATTCTGACAAAACTAGTCATGACCAGTAGGAAAAAGAGGATATAAGGCCATAATCAGGGATGCTATTCAGCAGGTTCCGACAGGTTCTGGAGAACCGGTAGCGGAAATGTTGAGTAGTTCGGAGAACCGGCAAATACCACCTCTGGCTGGCCCCAGAGCGGGGTGAGAATGGAGATTTTGCAGTATCCTTCCTGTGCCATACCCACCAAGTCACACCCATAGAACCGGTAGTAAAAAAAATTTGAATTCTACCACTGGACATAATTATGCTGGGTGGTGGGTTTTAAAATGGTAGAAAAAATAATTCTAAAGCTGAGCCACCAAGAATTATCCAGTGTTCAGTTTCACAGCGGTCATATTCTGCCCCAGCTATGGACCCCAAAGAACGCAGCACACACAAAGTCCATTCAAACCTTCATCAAATAAATCAGTCTTTTACAACAATGGCTGTTAATTAACTGCATTAACAGCCACCAAGAATTCAAAGAATAATAACTGAAAGCTTACTGTGGTTGGCAGAATGCCCAGAAGCAATTTGCAGGAAGCTGATAAGATAAGCAAGACAAGACACGAAGGTATGTGAACGAAGTTGTTCCCTGCAAATTGCTTCAGTCGTCGTTCCTCCTTAAATAGGCTAAGGGAGTGGCCAATTAGCCCCAAGCCTTACTCTTGAGGAGACCTCCTCCTGAGGAGCCACTCCTGTCTTTTGGCAGTTCTGCGTGCCTGTGCATTGAGAAGAGGCTCCTCCTCTTTGTCCTCTTCACTTAAAGGATCTTCTGGAGGTTCTGAAGGCCCTGGCTGAGTCCCAGCCTCTGGCACCACATCTTCTCCAGTCTCCTCATTGTCCGACTCGAGTGCCAGCTGCACAGGCTGCTGGCACAACATCACACCAGCCTCCTCGCTGTCTGAATCAGCTACTAGTTGCACAGGCTGCGTACGGGCCACAACAGGTCAGCCAAATTCCTCAATAAGACATAATCAGGGCATCAGATTGTCCTTAGTATTTGACAAACAGAGATATAATACAGCTGTAAGGATGATTTGATTTCACTGGCATGTCTAATACTTCTTGATTGAGTGTCTGGTTAAAAGATAAGCTCCAATTCAAATATGATGGCCACATGTGTAAAGAAACAAACACAAAGAAACCAGTTTTGTATCTCAAAAACAATCATGGTTTCACTTGGTGATTGCTTCGCCTAAGGACCAAATTGCTAGTGCCCATTGTGGTCAGTAAATGAGAACTCCCATATATTAAAATAAAACCAACAGTGACCTATTAAAACTGAAGTAGACATCCAGTCAGTTTCACCCTTAAGGAACCCCTTAGAAAAAGATGTATTTGGAGATTCTCATTCATCTAGCTCATGGTTGTCCCGAAAGTGCTTTTTTAAAAAGGCGACTGGATTTTGTTTTTCCTTGAAGATGTTTCGCTCCTCATCTGAACTGAGGAATCTTCTTGGATGAGAAGCGAAACGTCTTCAAGGAAAAACAACCAAAGTCCAGTTGCCTCTTGAAAAAAGCACCTTTGGGGCTTAGAAAAGGATTTCTCTTCTGAACTGATGAATCTCTCCTACTGGCAGGAACGCCAGGCAATTGTCGTGTATCCAAGTAGTGGGAAATACAACATGGCACATCATACTCACCATGGCTTATTGCCCAGGGAAGAGTCATCTTGAGATGTGTGGCTATCAATGGCCAGCCAGTGGTTCAGAATGCTGGTTCTGACCTTGACTAATCACAAGATCACAAGATTAACAGAGTTGGAAGGGATCTTGTAGATCATCTAGTTCAACCCCACCCACGCACCCAAGCAGGAGATCTTACAGCATTTCTTGCAAATGGCAGTCCAGTCTCTTCTTGAATGATGAAGCTCCCACAACTTCCAAAGGCAACTTCTGTTCCATCTGTTGATTGTTCTCACTGTCAGAAAATTTCTCCTTATTTCTAGGTTGAATCTCCCCTTGGTCAGTTTCCATCCATTATTCCTTGTTTGGCCTTCAGGTGCTTTGGAAAATAGCTTGATTCCCTCCTCTCTGTGGCAGCCCCTCAAATATTGGAAGACTGCTCTATTGGGTATCTTACCAGAGAAAATTAGTAAAGACAATATATATTTGATTATGCATGTCATAACAGCAGCAAGGATTGTTTATGCACAAAACTGGAAAGCAGAGAATATACCATCGGAGGGAGAAGTAATTAAAAAATTTTTAGATTGTGCAGAAATGAACAGATTAACTATGATGATAGAGAAGAAAGAGAAGATTCAGAATATTTTAAAATATGGAATCAATTTTACTATTGGTTAGAAAAGAGATATAAATAAGATTGAAAAAAATGTTGTAACTAGAATATTATATTAGTGAAAAATTTTTGTAATGGACTTGACGAGAACGAAGATAGAAGAGATAAGAGAAGAGAAGAAGTTTTTGGAGATAACGCCGAAATGTCACAGAAGAAATGAATGATGTATTAAATGTTTGTTTGTCTTAGAAAATTTAAAAATAACTTAAAAAAAATATTGGAAGACTGCTATCATGTCTCCTCTGGTTCTTGCCTCCACTAGGCTAGCCATGGCCAGTTCCTGTAACCGTTCTTCATATGTTTTAGCCTCCAATCCCTTAATCATCCTGCTTGCTCTTCTCTGCACTCTTTCTAGAGTCTCAACATCTTTTTTTATAGTGTGGTGACCAAAATTGGATGCAGTATTCTAAGTATGGTCTTATTAAGGCTTTATAGAGTGGTATTAGTATCACACTTGATTTTGATTGATCTTAATCTACTACTATTTCTAGTTAGGCTTCATAAGATAGAGTCCTATTCTTGCACTCTGCATTCTCAAAGCCTAACCGCTCATTATGCTGTCAAAGGAGGATCTTCGATGGTAACCAGCTGCAAAATCCGGTTCATAAGAACAAGGCCTAAGTGAATTCAGCAGGCAGCTCAAGGCAGCATCTTCAAGACTGCTGAGTGCAGACTAGGAGGAGGAGGGAAGGGAGAACCTGCCACCTCCTATTAATTTTTGCAGTGCTTCCATCTGTGCATGAAATGGCCTAATGATCCAAGCAATTGCCGTCACTTGTTAAGGATCTTTTCACTTTTTTTTTTCCCCACCACCACCACAAACAAACTTGCCGATGATATTAGTGGGCAGCTGCCAGAATTCATCACGACACTTTAACACATCCTTGGCTGTCTCTTGGCAGATGTGAAGAAGCCTGAATGTTCTGTAGTTGGCATATATGACAGACCCAAACACAATCACGCTTCGGAAGTCTATTTAAGGGAGAAATTGGGGAGGGGGGGTGGAGAAGGAGATTGGGGAGGGGGAAGGAAAGCTCTGCTCGCCATCTCCAGAGAGGGGAAAAAAAGAGTTTAAAATAAAGCCAGCAAAAGACTGAGCTATGATATAGTTGTTTTTTTTTTTTTAAGATGATAAAAATCAGAAAACAGGCTATAATGGGGCAGAAATAAGACAGTCATAAGAAGGTCATAAGGATAGACTCTCAATGGCATGTTTCAATTTCGCTCTTTGTCTCTTGGACAGCCTGGCTTAATGGGCCACACAATGATAGCACAGAAATAAAGCTGAACAACCAGTCCAATCACTTTCTTAACATAGAATGGGAGTCATTTGATAGATTACTGGCATAATATGGCAAAGTGCCTAGGATCGTGATGGCGAACCTATGGCACGCGTGCCCGAGGTGGCACTCAGAGCCATCTTTCCAAGCATGTGAGCTGTCGCCCAACTCACCTGCAGCTGTGCACCCCAGCTGGTGTCTGGGCCTACGATGCACATGCGTGCAATTCCAGAGACCTAGATGGTCTTCGGAGCTCTCCTGTGCATGCACATACATTTGCGCATGCACGCACAAGTAACTGCATGCAACATGCGCATGTGCAGGTGCCATTAGCACACATGCATTGCACGCACAAAAGCCGTGCACATATACAGATAGTGCAATAGCGCATGCAGCGCATGGGGGAGCCATGCGAAGGCCGTGCGCACATGCGCAGATGGTGCAGTTGCACATGCAGAGCACAGGGGGCGCACAAAAGCCACGTGCATGTGCAGATGGTGTGGTTGGGCGTGCAGCGCCCAGGGGAAGGGCCACGCGTAAGCGAAGCGCGTACCTGTTTGGCACTCGGTGAGTAAAAGGTTCACCACCACTGGCCTAGGAGATTCCAGATCAGTGGGCGTGCTTCAGATCCCTGCCATTAAACATTGCCATCTTCTGGGATCAAGGAAATGTGCCTTCTTTGTTGTGGACCTCACCTTCCGGAACAGCATCCCCCAGAGATAAGGATGGCACCTTTTCTCCTGGAGTTCCAGAAACTTTTGAAAGTGCCAGGCCTAGAGTTGATATTTCTTATTTGTTGGCCCCTGTTTCATTCTGTCAATTTTGTGGTTCGTTAGATTGTTTTCATCTGGCCTTTCTACTTGAGTCAATGTTTTAGTGGTTGTTTAGTTTTTGCTATTTATTTACTTAAATGTATTGGCTACCCGCAACTCCAATGGATTCTGGGTGGCATTTTGCATGTCACCCAAAAGTCCATTGTAGTTGGCTAGCCAATACATTTAAATAAATAAATGGCAAAATGTCTTTGATTCATTATGTGTAAATCCTAGTCCAGCACCTCAATTTTCATCCATTTGTTACCCAATTTCTCCACCAAGCAAAGATAGATATTTCTTCGCCCTGACGCTACACTTAATTTTAGACAAATGCCAAGAAGCTTACCTGGCAGGCAAAGTTCGTTGATTATGTCATTTCTTCACCAAGCATAGATGGAGAGATCAGTTATTCAGTTTAGATTCCTTCAAAGTTGTGGGTCTCTCTCTCTCTCTCCCAGGATTCCTATTTGGGAAATATTAATAACTGTAACTGATATTTCTGGAAGGTACTCTAGTTCTTCCTGGACCAATTTTACTATAAAATCAGTGTTCAGGAAACACTACTGTAATTTATCTGCAATATAAAATATAGAAATGCTATTTTCCAACGATACCAATAAACAATGCTTTCACTTGTATATAAATCCAATGAGTTCAACATGCCTATTTCCACATATGTCTATTTCCACATATTTATGTACCAGTGGTGGGTTTCAAACTTTTTTACTACTGATTCTGTGGGTGTGGCTTGGTGGGTATGGCTTGGTGGGCATGGCAGGGGAAGGATACTGTAAAATCTCCATTCCCTCCCCACTCCAGGGGAAGGATACTGTAAAATCCCCATTTCCTCCCGATCAGCTGAGACTTGGGAGGCAGAGAATAGATAGGGGTGGAGCCAGTCAGAATTTTTACTACCGGTTCTCCAAACTACTCAAAATTTCTGCTACCGGTTCTCCAGAACTGGTCAGAACCTGCTGAAACCCACCTCTGATACGTATCTATTTCCACATATGACTAACCTCCAGACATAAAGTCCTCTGAATAAATGTGCATTGGACTATCAGAATACAAGTGAAAAGATTTTTCCACTACATATTAATACCGTTCAGTACATTTTATTTTATTCTATTTCCAGCTTAATAAAAAAAAAAAAATCTATTGGTCTTTTTAAATGGATCGTTAATGCAAAAAGTTGAATTAATTTGTACATTTGTCTAAGCATTTATTTTCATATAAAGTGAAATAGCAGGGTGACAACTCATAATTTGTTTAAAGCAGCCTTTGGTCTTGATTTATTGAATATTTCTCAGACAAGATTAGTCTAATTATTATTTGAATAATTCCAGCAGTTCAAAAAAGAAAGAAAAGAAGGTAAACTTTAAGAAAATCGCTTCATTAATTTGTTCAGATTTGCATAGTGAAAATACAAAAAGATTTATTAATATATTTAAAAGCTTTATGAGGGGCCATTTAACCCCCTTTTAAAAATTACATGCAAAGTTTTCAAACATCAGCTCCTTCACCTTCCTTTGTCCTCTCCAATACAAGTTACAATAACATTTGCAAGAATGCACAGAGGATTTAATTTAATTATTAAAAATATTTAATCCTCTCTTTTCCAAGTTTATGTTAGCCAGTAATATATTTTCTTATTTATAAAGCTACAGCAAAGATAGACACTAGGTAAGAACTGGAGTTAAAGAAACATTTCTGTCAGATGTAAATGCCTTATTCTCCAATGTGTAAATAATGTATATAATGGAACATCAGAGGTTAACTTATTCTTTGGACTTTAATGTATTCATAACTTACCACTCCCATTCCTAGCTCCACCCCTTGTATATATAAGGAGCCACCCTCACCATTCTCGTCGCTTCTACCTTGAATATTCAGTGAATATAGAATGCCTATCACAATTAAAAAGAAATATATTTAAAGCTTTAACTTCTATTATCTTTATTGAGTCTGATCCTGGAAATAATGCAACAAGCTGGTAGCAGAGGATGGTTAATTGACTCAATAAGTAATTAAAAATGTCCAAGAAAGATAGGCCCAACACCAGGGCCTACAGCAAAGAAATTGAAACTGATCAAGAGATGATCAACGAATCCACCAATGCGATTTCGAGAGAATCCGAAGAATACATCACTGAAGAAGAAGAACTAATGAGTGAAAATAATGACCAGAAAGAAATCGAAATAGAAAATAACGAACTCAGGTCAGAGATATTAAAGATACTAAAAAGCCAAAAGAATGATGAAAGTCTCATCGCGGACCTCCAGGAGATGCTGAAGAACAGCGGAGCAGCGAGAGAGAAAAACGTCATTAAAGAAAAACCCAAAGATCAAAAAATCGTAAGTGAGATGACTACTGAGAAAATAGTTGTTAAAAAGAAAAGATGTGATCCCGCGCGAAATTTTGAATGGCAGCCATCTTGGTTTCAACGAACTTCAAAAGAGAATGGAGCAGAGCCAATCAAAACGCTCAGTTCAAAATTTCTGGCGCGAAAAACACTATCAGACGAAGAAAGTGAGAAAGAAGTCTCAAACTCTTCAGATGATCCAAAATCAGAAAGTGAAGACGATTTAACAAAATCTCAAGTAAAATCAGCAATGAAAACGCTTTTTGCTGCTTTTGGGCCAAGACTGAAAATTACCAAGATATCTACGAAGAAGCAAGAAATCAAACCGGCGACTCAAGACCTGCACGCTCCCATCCTGACTTCGAAAGCGACGACGCCCGAGCCCAGAGAGCCATGCCGATTTCGCCCTACACCACAGACAAAATCGAATACCAACGCACACAAAAAGAAGAAAAGAACCGTCACCACCACCAGAACCCCAAAAACCGAGCCAGAGACCGACTCATCTGAGGAGGAGCGGATCGAGAGAGCTGAAAGGGAGAGAACCTTCCACGACGCCACCAAAGAAGAAATGAACAACGCGCATGTGCGAAACTACGTAGACGACCCAGAAGGACTTGAACTGGCCAGAGAACCGCGCAGACTCATTGCAAGCATCCCAATGCCGTTCTGTAATTTCCTGCACTTGAGAGATCACGGACTGCCCCAGGTTGTAAGTAATGGACAGAATAATGTAGGTAACTTACCCAGTGACTTCCCAAAACTTAGAATTGATGGCATTAATTTACAAGAGTGGTATCAACAGCTTCAGGTTATTTTCATGAAAGAAAATTTACTATTCTTTATAACTAGCCCTCCAAGAAGACCTTGGACTTTAAAAATAGATTGTTTACATCATAGAGCATTTTTCATAATAATATCTAGCGTGTCTCCTGCAATGTATCATAGCATCAAACCAAACCTAACTGTATCAGAAATAATTCAATGCATGTTTAATCTATTTCACAGCGATAGCGTAGCTACAACCACAAGAATGTCTAAGGATTTCTTTTCCTCTAGAGTAAAACCAGGGGTTTCTATAAGTGAGCATTTGATAAATCTAAACAAAATAAGAGCTGAGCTACAATTGAGGGGGGAAGTGATTTCAGATCAAACAATGAAAAGTGTTATTATCAATTCACTTGATCCATCATGGGATAGCTTTATGTCACACTTAGATACCATTAATTTGGGATATTTATCCATAGAAAGTCTATCTAACAAATTGATAGCAGAAGACAATTCAAGAAAAAATCGATCCAGTAACCAAACAGACCACAAACCTTTTAGGAAAGTAGTCTTTCAAGATAAACATAATGAGGCCTTTAGATGCTACAATTGTGGATCCAGGGAACATAGTAGAAGAGACTGCCCCAAAGTCTCAAGAGAGAGACATAGACCAGAATATAGGAGCAAATATAATTACAGACAATCTTCCACAGATAGACACAAATATAGAAGCCCACCAAATTACAAAGAAGGTAGAGGGGGTAGAGAAAATTCAAAAGAGAGGAAATCTGGGTCACTGAATGGGCTAAATAAGCAAGACAGCACCAGAACACAGCAGGATGAGAATAACAATTGGCTTATTGATTCTGGTGCAACAAATCACACCACCAACAACAAAAGTATATTATCTTCATTTATAGAAGATAAGTTTGTGATAAAGGTAGCTAATCAAGAAAAGGTTCAAGTACTAGGCAAAGGAAATGTGACCTTGCCTGGTCTAGGGAAAATAGAGGGGGTATTATTAATCCCAGAAATACCTCACAACATACTAAGTGCCATAAAATTAAGCAGAGAATCTGATATCAATATAGTTTTCTCAAAGGGGAAAGCAACTATAGAAAAGAACAAAACAAATATAGGTACTGTAATGATAAAAGGAGGTCTACCCTATCTGATAACTAAAGAAAGATGTTTACATAACATTGATTCAAATATGGAAGATTGTATTGAAGCAGATGATGAAAATGTCAGTAACAGTGACAATGATGAGTGTAGAATAACTCATGATCACAAAAACACATACAAGGAAAAGAAACCAAAAATAGGTAAACCAATTCATGATGAGTGTGCTCACATCTTACACAGGAAGTTAGGACATGCAAGCTTTCCTGTAGTACAAAAAATGACTGAACACGCAGAAGGTGTCAAAATAAAAAATTGTGAAAATTATTTGGAATGCTCAGTATGTAAGTCCACCAAACTAAAAACCAGTCCCAGACCAAAAAAATCTAACAGATCAACTAACAATATTTTTGATTTGGTACATATGGACTTAGTTGGTCCATTAAGTCCCTCAATTACCTATAGAAAACGTTACTTCCTAACAATAGTGGATGACTACAGCCGATATGGTTTTGTTTACACATTAAAGCACAAGGATGAAACATTTCAGAAATTTAAGGAATTCTACAAACGTATAGAAACACAACATAATATCAGAATAAAGCAAATTATGACAGATAGGGGATGTGAGTTCATGTCTAAAGAATTCTCCCAATGGTTAAAGGATAGAGGAATGTTACATTTCACGTCCAATCCTTTTTCTGCATTTCAAAATGGAGTTGCAGAGAGGAAAAATTCCACACTACAAACCATGATTAGGTGCACATTAGAGGATGCTGGTTTAGGCAAACAATTTTGGTCAGAGGCATTACATTATTCGAATTACACTCAAAATAGAACCTGGTCCAGTATTGTGAATAAGACACCATATGAGGTGATGTACAATAGAAAACCCAAATTATCACACATGCACATATTTGGAGTCACTGCAGACGTACACATACCTAAACAATTGAGGAGAAAGGGAGAAAACGTATCCAGGAGATTAAGATTCATGGGATACGAAACTGGAACCAAAGGGTACAGATTTATTGATAGTAATAACAAATTTATAGTATCCAGAACAGCTGTGTTCCATGAACAGGCCAATTGGTCAAAATTGCACCTTAATGAAATATTTCCTAATAAATGTAAAGATACGATATCTTGCGAGGAAGGAACAACAGAAAATCAAAATATTAACAAAAGTAAGAACAAAACCAAAACTTGGA